TAGATTATTGATTCTTTTGAGCTTGGTAATTAATATACTCAGTGTGGGCACATAATATCCCATGCTCATATTATCTTGCCCTTCTAAGATTTTAAGTGAGGCAGCAACATATTGCATAACCTAAAAAATTAAAATGGTTAAATATAATATAATATTATTTATCATTATCCGTTATCATCTTACAAACCTTGTTTTGAATTTTGTAAGACCTATGGATTTCTGCAATAATATTGGCTAGAATGTCATAAGTCTGACAGCCAATTATTCTCTTTAGAGCTAACGCTACAGATTTTTGTTTAAGATTTTTAGGATCAATCTAATGTGCAGTTACTCCTAAATAAGCTCTAAAAATATGACATATTATAAATAAGAAAATAAACATTTTTACCTTCTATTGTGAGTCCAGCAATCTGCCGTTGTACAGACGTAGGAGACATCTGATAGATTTAATATAAAATATTCTTTCATTTCCTTAAAGCTCTCCAAAATTCTTGCCATCAATGTCTGCCGGCAAAATATCTTGGTCCGTGGAGAAAAAGTGTTTATCATCTTTATAAAATAATCATTATCCACCAAGGATAATGGTTGAACTGTATTTATTATAAAGTTCATAATGACTTTGTCAGCCAATTTTTGGGATACACCAGGTGTTGATGAATCCAAATTGGTTAATTTTGTTTGTATTAAATTTGATTTGGAAGTGGGTTTATCTTCTTCCATTACCCCAAAACTTTTGAGATATTTTTCAATCTCTTTATAATTTGAAGTGTGCACAGTCTAAAATTATAAAATACTTGGAATAAAAATTATGTAGGAGATAAGTACATAAAAATGATTGAAATAACTATTTTAAAATGTTTTAAATAATTTAGATAAAATTTATGAATATATAAAAAAAAATGATTGGTTTTTGATTTTAATTTATTTTAAAAACTAAAGATTAGCCTACACATTGATATTAAATTTGTTTAATATATTACCTTTAAATGTTTTTTCAAATTAAAGCTGCTCGTATGATTTGAAGAGATAATTTTGCGGCACATCTTGCACCGAAACCGATATCCAGTATTAATTTTTTCTTCAAGGTTAAAGTATTTCTTGAATTTTGGGAAAGGATCATCTATATTTTGCTCATTTTCCAAAGAAATTACAATATCTTCAACAATCTCACACATAACAAGATTTATAATGCTTAATATAAAATGTAAAATGAAATATAAAATAAGATAAAAGCAAGGACATACCAATAACGGAATTTCAGAAATATATAATTTAATGAATACGCGAAATATAAATTAAATACAGATTGCTATTTAACAACTGTTTATATCTAATATATAACAATAATATATATTTTTAAATATAAATATAATTTCAAAATTAAATTAAATAAAAGGATTATAATTTTAGATTTTATAAAAAATATATTTTAATAATATTTAGATGTATTTATTATGTAAAATTGAAAGTAGCGAAGTAGCGTAGCGAGCTACCGCTATCGCTATTTTTTTAAAAAAGTAGCGCGCTATTTTAACAACACTGCTAGTTAGATAATATGTAATCAAGTTATAAACAAAATTAAAAAATATTTTTTTAATTATTAATTATAAGCCAATTTTTAAGTCTATACCTCAAACAGTCCCGTGGAATATGATATTTGCAGATGATATTGTGATACTTGGCGAATCCAAGAATGAAATGAAAGAAAGATTAGTGAGTTGGATAAATATCCTAGAAAAGCACAGACTAAAAGTAAATAGAGAAAACACGGAGTATATGGTGATAGGAGGAGATGAAACAGAGAGTATTGATATAAATGAATGGCAGATATCGGCAATTTAAAGCTGCAAATATTTGGGCTCCACTATACAAACAAATGGCACAATAGAAAAAGAGATAAAGAGTAAAATTAATCAAGGGTGGTTAAAGCGGAGATCTTTATCCGGAGTGCTTTTTGACAAAAGAATCCCACACAAATTAAAGGGAAAAATTTACAGTTTCATAGTACAACAAACTATGGAGATGAGAATGCTGAGGATGATTGCTGGGGTAACAAGAAAGGATAAAATGCGCAGTACAAGAATACTAAGTAGTTTAAAGGTAGTGCCCATTAAGACTAAGTTAATGGTAAACAGACTTATATGGTATGGGCACATAATGAGAAGGCCTATGAACTACATAGGAAATAAGGTTGAGAGTTTGGAAGTGATGGGCAAACGTAAAAGAGGAAGGCCAAAACTTCAATGGGGCCATAAAGTTAGAGCCAATATAAAGAAGTATAAATTAGATAAAAGAGATTGTATGAATAACATAAAGTGGAGAGAGATGTTGAAGGAGCTTACCACCAGAAAAGGTGAAAGCTAAAAGGAAAAAAAAGAAGAAGTTTCTTATATTTTCTGCCTTATACGACATCCGATTTTTTGACATATTAGTAAAAGCCTTTCACAAGCAGTTGATGTTCCTTGTATAGATACTCCATTTTCGAGAGTATAGGGATCCGTGCCTTCCGCCACATTAACGGGTCAGTATCACTCTTTGCTCTTGGCTTACTCAGATAAAAATCTATTTCACACAGTTGAATATTATTTTGTTTAAAAACAATGTGTTTAACAGTTATAATTATCAGCTTATAAAAATCATTTATTTAAATGGGGTTAAATTAAATACCTGTATAGCTGTTATAAATCTCTTTAAATTGTCCTTTAACTTAGATAATATTATAATCAGCAGATATTGATTGATTTAAAATATTCTACTTTAAGTCTGGGATCTAGTGGTTATTGCATCATCAGTAGTTTTATTATATTAGCCCAACAATTTATCATATGCTGCTTAAACCACTGTTAAAGGATTTATGGAAATCAGGTTTTCCATTTTTAGGGTTAAAAAAACCAAATTATAAGTAGGATAAATCTCCCCACATGCCATATTTTAGTCTCATATAAAGGAAATAGGATAGCTTTAATTTTTAAAAGATCCCATCGTTACTCCTATAAAAATTATGATCAATAAAATGGGCTCTTAGCTCTAAAAAAGCAGCTTGTGTTGGCTAGTCCAAATTTTAGGTGAATAGGATATAATTTCTTTTACTAACTGTTCTTTTGCAAATGCATTATACAAATGCAATTTAAGAGTATTGGAGCATATTGATTTTACAGAACAATCAAGATCATTTTTTTGTATTAACAGTTTAAAAGGTATATTATAATTTATAAATAATTTTAGCAAGTTATCTTTAAATTAATTTTTTTTAGAAAAAGAAATTGGTGATTTAGGTTTTAAAAATGTCAATTTTATTACACTTTATACTGAGGTGTGATTGGAATTTATTATGATTAGTATGAGGGGATGTTGTTTTGCCTTTATATTTTATAATGCTCTGCAATGATTGCAAGTAGCCTTTTTACCCTCTTTATTGATTTGATATTGATAACGTATAATCTCTGTTTTTGTGAGGAAATTTTGTCAACTTCAACATCAAGCATAACTATTTTATCAGAAGCATTCTCCTCTTTCATAGGGATCGACGGAGTTCGAAGGTTCGGGATTGTCGGAGAATGGGACTGGCGGACCATACTTAGCGAGCATTTTTGTCATCGTACAAATAGGATTTTATGCAGAAAAATCGAGAATTTATTGAAACTAAAATTGTAACCATATTCCAAAAACGATTATGATACATACAATTTGACAAAGAGAAATAAAACAAAATACAAAAATAAATTCATAAATTTTTAATATCCCCCGTATAATTTTTTTGGGGTTCTTATATACTAAAAATTTCTAAACAAAACAAAAAAATCCATCAACGTATTTTATAAGATTTTTTTCATGTATTGGCCATCCTTGAAATTGGCGGCTAGAACCAGTTTTAAGTGAATAAAATATAAAAGCAAGCTTTATCTATAAATTACGATTAGGGTAAAACAAAATAAAGAATAATACTGTTTTGAGTGGAAAAAAGGAAAACATATAATAACACTCTTTCATTTCAGTACCAAAGGTATAAAATAAAAATAAGATTATGTGACAAACAATATAGGGAGACTTTAGTGGGAGATTGTATTAATAGTGAAAAACATGTCCCAACGAGATTAGGTATTAAATACAACAATTTATCTTTGAGTGTGTAATTTTTTAATATAATTTATTGTGAGAATCAAAAAATACGGCAAATAAAAATTTAAATATTGCTTCCATTTTTACTTCAGAGATATTTAAATATTGCTTCCATTTTTACTTCAGAGATATTTAAATATTGCTTCCATTTTTACTTCAGAGATATTTAAAGTTGTGTTAGTCTTTTTATAATAACATACCTGTCAGATTGGCAAGTTATCAAATAGAAATGACAGATGTTTGATTTTTTTAAAATTCTATTCGAATAAAACAAATCGTAATTATTTGATTCGAATCGAATATTTTTTTTGAATAGGCCTAGTCAACAATATACCATTCTTAATTAAATTAATATTTGGAAAAATTATGATCCTAAATCCATTATTATTTCTAAATTTATAGGAGAATGATAGCATATGACCGCCAGCAGATTCCTATCATGGAGTATGACGGCTTTTAAATCATTTATGTCTAATATAATGGAAATTATTTTTCGCATGGAGTTATTCCTGATATATATATGAGATTATCCGAATAGATTCTTAAAGAAATTTTAGTTGAGGATTTCTTATTTTCCATTTATCATAGATATATGGACTATTATTTTTTGTTATATTATCACCAAAAAATAAATATATCTATTACATTCAGCTGATATTGTTAAAGGTTCGACTAACTCAATATTTAGGCAAAAAAATATTGCCACCTCGAGATTTCACTAATAGATGTTCACATCTTTGTGCCATCTATGAGAAAATCTCTAGGCTTGCGTTTTAAACACTAATTTCAATTTTGACAAAATAGTAAAAATTATTAGACATAGATTCCACTTAAGTAATATTATATACCTTTGAAAACTAAATAAATTTTATTTTTAATAGGCACAGATGAGAAGACCATAGTGAATGTTTTGGGGAAAAGATCGAATAAACAACGCCAACAAATCATCGTGCAATACAAAATGCTATATGGAAAAGTTTTGATTTTCTTTAAATAAATAATAAAATGATAATAATTACTTTATATATTAATTGGCAAACTTTATTCACAATAATTTTAAATTAAATAACATAAAATTTTAAGATGAGATAAAAGTTTTCTTGATTTAATTAGGTTAAATTAATTTAAACTAATAGGTATAATGTTACATTATATTAAAAAATGAATGAATTTCATAATAATACAATATAATGACGGCATTGAGAATATAAATATGGTAGAAAATTTAATTTAGGAAAAGAAAAATATAAAATTTGTGAGAAAATAAATATGAAATTTAAGGGAGAAAAATGGTTGATAAGAGACAGGAAGAATGTAGAGGAGACAATATGATAATGATGTTGGTTAGGAATGGGATAATTATTCGATGGAAAAGATAAAGCTAAGAGAATTAGGGCAAATAATTGCGGTAACAAGCTCTTACCTTAGAAAGGGATTCTTTTGGTTGTTCGGTCTTTTTACGGATCCTTCCATAATCGATTAGAAAAGGTTTGATTTTGCTATCGATTGGAGTTTAGAGTAGAAAAAGCAAATGAATGAGCATAGAAGGATCGTTGGAACTGAATTTCATGCTCGATTTGGGGCTTTATAGTATATCGCTGAAAATCGAACACGATAGAAATATTAATCTTTGTATGAACATGCAAATATAAACAAAAGGATCTGATAAACGATTTGAAGGGCGAACTTTCTGGGAAATTCGAAGCCGTAATCATAGCTCTACTTGTGCCTACATATGAATATGACGCTCGTTTACTTAGAGGATCGATTAGAGTTATCACATTTTTATACCAAATATAATTTTTTATTATTAAGATTCTTTTTCTAAGCTTTTTTTAAAATTAAATTTGTTTTTGTAAAAACAATAAGTAGATGTAAGTCATATTTTTTTATAGCCTAACCTTATCATATAGACTAACCTTCATCAGGTCCTTAGTCCATAGGGGGGACCTGGGGTAAAGCTATTAACGGAATTACTTTATTAAAGCCTATAACTTTTAACTATTGAGCATAAAAACCCTAAATTTGGTATGAAGATATATTTTTATATGTAATTTCTTAACCATGTTCGATCTTCTTGGTTTAGCATATTTTGCCAAAAGGCCGTTTTTTACTCCAAAATAATAAAAATCATCCTCTAATATAATTGAGTTTTAGTAAAATATATTTATCATCATAATTTGATATTGTATACATGTTCCTTAAGGTCTTAACAAGATAAGAAAATTTATCTAAAGTTTATAATTTAACTAGAAGTCACGCAATGACTATTTCTATAATATATCCCCTTGGGGTAAACCTATTGATAAAAAACGGTCAAATGGTTCCGTCTGATTAAAGTTGCAAAAAGGAAATTTTGAATAATTAACGTCTAAAACATATTAATATTTTTGAGCAAAAGGATTTAATCAATAATTTATGTGTTATATGGAATACAATTTTTAAAAATAGTCTTAATACTAACCTAAAAACCTAAAATGGGCACACTCAAAATGCGCTATTTTTGATAATTTATACATTCCCTTATTATATTGATTAGTTTTTACTTAACGTAATAGATCAAAATTTCTAATATTTTGTCAAAACAATTAAGCTATGTTCAAATTTATTTTAACCACATTACGTAAAATGGCACATTTCACATAGTTAATAATCATAGCTCTTAAAGTATTATAGATAGAGAGCTACACTTTTTTTTGTAGGTGAGGGAATGGGCTACAAAAAATTTTACAATTTGTTCTGTTCTACTGCTTAAAATTATGGTAAAAATACAAATTAATTAATTGTTTTACCCCTGTCTCCCCTATTTATTTTTGATAAAATATTGCTCAAATTGGACAAGTATATGAAATTTAATTTGTAATAGTAAAAAGGCTCATACAATCACTTATCGATTTTTATTTATTGTTGTTAAACGGCTAGATTTAACCAATTTTAAATTAATATTTAAGCCAAAACAGTATTACGCAAGCCTCGAGATATTCTTAATAGACGTCCAAACTTTTCTGCCATCTACGAGCGAAATCTCTAGGCTTACGTAATATTTGTTCTAAAATATTGGATATCGTTTTTTAAAAATCAAGTTGTTTAACAGCACTACCTTTATTATTCCCGAGTATAAGTAGGGTAGTTTATCGACACGATCTACGGGCGCAAGTTAAAAATTTTTGCCATGTTATCCAAAGTTGTTCTTCAAAAAAAAACAATTCACAAGACTGATGCGATAGTTTTGGCTGAAAACTAGGTTTATCTATATTTTTAGTCGGATAAAACTGGAACGATTTTACCTGTCTGTCTATATTCCATCCGCGTCACTATTTTATGATTAAATTTTGATATTTATTTTTTAAAAATCTGTTGTTTGCATAGGGGTGGCACAACTAATTAGTTATATTTACCTATAATATAGTATAATAAATAATAGAAATAGATTATAAAATTGAATTTCAAAATATTCACTAATTATTATTTAACAGAGTTGTAAAGCCTCTTGTTTATTAGGAGCCAGCTCTCTGCTTTTTTTAAATTTTATTTTAATTCTAATGGTTACTTAACACTTTTATTTAAACATATCCAGGGCTTAGGAACCGATGAAGATCTATTAATCGAGATTTTAAGCAGTAGAAGTCCATCCGATATCCGACAAATCAAACAAGTCTATCAACAATGTAAAAACCCAAAAAACAAATTAAATAATTCGTGGAATTCTTTAAAAATCTTTTTTTAAATTATAGTATTTAAAAAGGATCTGGAAAAGGATATTATAAATGACACGTCTGGCCATTTTCAACGTTTATTAGTATCTCTCTCTACGGTAAATATTTAATATCTTTTTTAAACCCTATTTAGAAACATAGTAACAGTTAAATTGCCAAAAATGACTACTTCATTCTCATTCTCATTATATTATTTTATTTATTCTCTTTTTTTTATTATTAGGATAAATAAGAATACCTTTAATTATGTTACAAATTAAATAGATTGCATTTTTAATGTGACAATATTAATACAAATGATTTTAGGGGATGAGAGACGAAGGCAATAACATAGATCCAAGTTTAGCCAAAAGAGACGCCGAGGTATAACATTTTGTTACAATACAAAATTTAATTTAGCAAATGAATATATATTTATGATAGAATAATTTTTTTAGACTATAAATATTTTTTTAAGAAATTTATTTAACTTCATTAGTCGATATATTAATTTAAAGGAAATGTCAAAACCCAAACATTAAATTCAATTAAGCAAATTTTTATATCAAAATAATTTATTGAGTGTTTATTTTTTTCAATCCATTAATTAATTCCCTTAGGCCTTATTAAAGGCCGGAGTCAAAAAATGGGGCACAGATGAAAGCGCATTCAACGCAATTTTAGCCTCGAGAAATTTTAACCAACTAAGGGCTACTATGGACGAATACCGTAAAATATCTGGTCATACCCTAGAGCAGGCTATAAGGTCCGAAATGTCGGGAGACTTGGCTAATGCTATGACAGCTGTCGGTAAAAAAATAAATTTTAAATATCATGTAACCTTTTTCATTCGGTTATTGACTTTCCCTATAATTCTCTATCTATGATTAATGATGCATAGCGTTATATACATTATTAAGTTATGTTTTCTAAAATATTTGATTTCGCAAATTATTCTTATATAAGAAAAGTATCACTTTTTAAAGGCAGCTCTGGCTCAGAAAGTTATAGATCTGAGTTGACGCCAAGAAGCTACGGCTCGATCCCAGCCATGGGACAATTTTTTTTCTGAAATATACCTCTTTGAAATAGGTACCATAAATGAGGGGTATATGTATTTCAATAAAATTTGGGCTTTGTTTAATAAATTATTAATTTGTTGACCGACTTTATGTATCATTTATCCCTCTTTCTCCACGATCCTTTGATCAAGTTCATTCTTTTTATTTGTTACTACCAATGTCAATCTTAATTATGAAATTAACGGGAATCAGCTGTTCGCCATGTTTATGCCTGATAATCCTTAGTAAGTAAATATTGAATTTTGCAATTATTTTAATCTTTTTTGTTGATTTAGAATGATTAGAATTAATTTTTTTTTCATTTGGGTTCGTATAGATTTTTTTAAACATGTGATACAAAGATTATTTGGACAATGTACTTTGTATTCCTTCTCGTAATTTTAGATTTGATATAATTTAAAAATATTTCGAGACCACAAAATATCTAAGCTCATATTCATTATTTTCCACCAAAGTCTCTTGGAATTAATTATAAATAAGCTTCTATTTAATCTGAAAATATAGCTCTTGAGTAATCCTTCCAAGTTAAGATTATAAACGAAGCTTGAGTAAAGAGCAGCTGGAAGTGTGGATAAATAATGATGCACTCAGTTTGGAGAGGGAGCATTTCTTTTTGGGTAATAGATCTTGACTTTTCTTTACTGGATTTTTGGTATGATATATTTTCGCTGAGCACACGAAGAAGGCATATGAAACTCGGGATTTGACAGCGCTTGAGTTTACATTTCCTCACATTAACTATCTTTTTTGAAGTTGATGCTTTTGGTACTTCCGGTGTGAGGGAGTATTTCCTAAATGGAAATTCGTTAATATGATATATACGATGTATAAGCGACATGGAGCCGTGAAATGATATGAAATACCCTTATGTAGTCATATTCATAAAATTAATCACTTCAGAATTCACAGATGTTCAGAGTCAAACAATATCAAATTCGTTCCATTGTCATATCAACTCTTGGAAAGCACTTACCTTTCTCAAGGAGATGGGAAGAAAAATTACCCATCTCAGCGGCGATTCTATACAATATTAATATATTCGCCAGAACATTGGTTTGAAAATTTGGCGTTAAAATTTCTTACCAATTTTCACCTCATAGCCAATTATCCATCGTTTATAATATCCCAATGAGATCTTGTGTAGGAAGTACTCTCTCACACCAAAAGTACCAGAGGTATCAACTGTAGAAAAGCCAGCTAACTCAGGAATCCCAGGTTACACATGCCTTCTATTGCGCCAAAAAAACCAATACAGATAAGTTATGATTAATTCATCTTTTTGAGGATACTCCATAAGTTTTATATTGAAAAAAAACAAGAATATATAAATAACAATAATCTTTTAAGGAATTGGAGAATAAATTATTTGTTAAATATATTTTTTTAATTTTTTTTAGCGAAATGTGCTCAATATAGACCCGCATATTTTGCCGAGCGACTTTACAATTCCATGAAAGTAAACGATAAAAAAACATTGGGATTTAATTTAAGATTTTTCACCTTTCGCGCTAACTATGAATGCAGGGTTAAACCTAAAATCAAAACGCCAAATGCTGAGCGGAATATTATCCAAAAAAAAGGATAATTGAAAATATATCATTGCAATTAAATGTCAAAAAATTGATATTATTTTTTAAATTGTTGAATAATTTATTATACCAATTTTTGAAGTTCAACAAAAATTAAAAAATTTTATAGGTTATTTATGATCGGAACTAGGGATATCTCAAAAAAAATAAAAAACCAAAGAATTTTATTGACTAGAGATACTAGAAGTATAACTATAGTTATACCTAAAATAATTTTTATAATTAAAAGTTTAAACATTTCAGATTCTAAGGATATAATGAAAATGATAACTACGATAGAAATGCTAATAAATATTAAAGTAAATAAAATATTTAACGAGTCCAAATTTATGATCGTGTTAGACCATAAATTTATATTTGATAGGGACTGTCATTATTGTTAAAATAGGTAGATGCGACAAAAACCCGATAAATGGGGTTATTAAGAGAAGGGATACTATCATTTATAGTGTCTTCATCTTTCTTGTAGTTCAATGATATTAATATCGATTTATTTATATACTGCTTTAAAAATTTATCTTTTTTTGGAAACTTGTTAATGTTTAAAAATGCTGTTAAAATTACGAATTATAAATGCGATTTTTACATAAATAAAATTCTCTTTTATTAATATGCTTTAAAAAAAAGGGCTAACTAAAACACTCACATCTATAATATATTGTTCACATATTTTACGAAATTAAATTAGTAAAAATTATAATGAATTTTCAAGGATAGTTATGTACAATTGTTTAATTAAGTTGATAGAAAGTTTCCATTTCTGCCCTGCAATATCCATAAAAATTATCATTATTTATTTCTTTAAAAATAGAATAAAACTCCCGTTTCAAGTCTTAACTTGTATATTTTATTTAACCCTCTTCATTTTTAAGTAAATTAATATTCGTGGAATCCAACAATAAATATAACCAAATTTTTAAGAATATTTTTAAAAAATTAATTTTATTAAATATTTGTCAAAAATGACGGGATGAAAATGTTCTTCATAATTTTATGATAGATGTTACCTTTTATTTGAAAACCATATCCAATTTTTATAGCTTTTACTTGATAATTCTGTGTTAAAATATTACTTATAACCTATGGTCCTAAATCAGGTCCAAGCACATAATAATTTTGGAAAATTTTCCCAAAGTAGACCTATAATAATTTTGGTAGTTGAGAATTGGAATACAATTTAATACAATCAGTATCAGATATTCATGACTTTGGTTTTTTGATAAGGTCCAGCCTAGGACCGAACAAAAAAAAATTTAGGCCCAGGCCTGACGCATATTTAATATTAAAAAAAAATCGAAAGCCAGGTTCTAGCCTAGCCCATAATAATTTTTCCCAAGCCCGGCCCAACTGATAATAATTTTGAAAAATTTTTTCTAAACCCGGGTCATAATAATTTTTTAAAATTTTGTCTAAGCTCATACTAATTTAAAAAATTTTTCCTAAGCCTAGCCCAAAATAATTTTGAAAAATTTTTCCCAAGCCCAGTCCATAATAATTTGGAAATATTTTTCCCAAACCCAGCCCATAATAATTTTGAATATTTTTTCCAAACCCAGCCCAAAATAATGGGGAAAATTATTTTAGAAAAATTTCTAATTATTAACAAATGAAGGGTGCTCTCTGAGTAACCTATCATTCTACAGGGTAGTTTGTAGTATGGACATAAAAAAACATGATAAGATGTATTAACCTAAAGAACTACACATATAAAAATAAGAGAAATTATAATTGCCCGACATAATTATTTATTCATATTGAGACTATATAAAAGTTTTCTTTAAATAATGAAAAATTTAGGAGCTTGTCTCATCAAAATAAAAATAAATTTAGTCAGTCATACCTCATAAAATAGGCAAATGTCTAATTCATTTATCATCAAATGAAGAGGAAATACCTGATTTCATCATATTGACAAATAATATAATTTAGAATAGAAGTTCTATATAAAAATAAGAGATATCATTGATTCTTATTCAATAGACAAATATATTGATGTAATATTTTAAATAAACATTAAATTTAGTGATTTCAATACAAAATATAATTTTATAATTTCTATTATATATCAGATATAAATATTTCTTCATTAATAACATACTTCTTTTTTTTAATCTATAAGTTTTATATTTGAATCTAAACTTTAAAATGGTATGACTAATGTAAGGTAATTACATCTTCTCTTTGGAATTTGTTGCTAAGAAAAATAAGTATAATAATTTAATCTTTATATGTGTACTTTTGTTTTCTTTCTTCAATAAAATCTTTAAAATTAGATTTAATATCCAGGCATATAGATGATTGCAAATTTTCTCTTAGTTTAATCATGAGTTAATTACTTTATTGCGCAGCTAACATATATGTAAAATTTAACTACACCAACTCTTATTTTATTAGCTCATTGCGCAAACTCATAAATAAGCATATTTAACCAAAAAAGTAATTTATATATAAGAAATATTTTACGACAATATTATAAGATGATTGGGGCTAAATAGTCTGAACGTTTGCCTTCGGGGTGGGAAGGTGCGGATTCGTAAAAAATATTTTATTTTCTGGGGGAAAATTTCCCATCCGATTTTGAACTCGAATCGGTTAAACTGGGTCGGCCAGGCTGATAGGTCGAAATTTTAAGCCAAGGGATATATAAAAATTTGATATAAATACACATACACCATTTCGCCCCAAAATAAATCTCGCAGACAAAAAAGCCCATTTTTGCATTTTTTAATTCCATGCGAAGATATTTTATACCTCTCGCGATTTGGCGAATAGAGGTCCAAACCTTTCTGCCATATGTGAGCAAAATCTATAGGCTTACATAATATTATTTTGGCTAAACTCTTACAACTTTCATCATAAATTAATGAAAGTTTTTGAAATAAAAATTTTATAAACTTTTTTTATTACTATCAATACATATTTCTAGGGAATCGGTACTAATGATGACATGCTAATAAGAATAGTTGTTACGAGATGCGAGGTTGATATGCAAAATATCAAATCAGAATTTCAAAGGCTCTACGGAAAATCTCTGGAATCTTTTATTTCCGTAAATCTTTATATTATTATATAATTTTTTTCTTCTTTTCTTAATTATAAAAAACAATATTGAAGCGATATGCAATAACAGCATAATTATTCCCATTTATGTACGATAAAGTTGAACAAAATAATCCAACACTTTAATAAATTATAGAGCCTAAAACCTTTTTTTAAAGGTTTTCTGCTATTATATTTTAGAATTAATAGCATAATTCTTATAAATAGATAAGATATTATTTTTGTTGTTATCAGTGATTAAAATGTAAGTTAAGGTTATTACTTCATAAAAACTAATTACTTTCTCTTCCTTTTCGTCACAATTGAAGATTAATTATTTTGATTATTTTGTATCGATTATTTTTTTAAATACATTGAAGGGAGACTGCTCTGGTGATTACAAAAGAGTTTTAATTGCGTTGGTTCAGGGAAATTTTTAAAAAGTAGATATGTACTAATAATAATATTTTATTTGACAATTTATTCTTTTAAACGACTTATTTTTCTTTTTTATTATATAATATATAAATAGTACTTATCAAATTATGACATTCTATTTCTAACATTTTAGGGAAAAAATATATACTATATTATACAAAATATGTTTTTATAATATCTAATATTTACTCGACAGAAATTTAATATTTTAAAAAAATCGGTTAAAATTTATATTTTTAGCATATTGTATATTAACTCTAAATTATATATTATTTTAAAGGTATATTTGTTTTTAAAAATTAAATCTAGATTATTTATAAATATAAATTTCATCAACGAATTAATTAACTGATTATATAATTCAATCTGTAAATCTAATAGATTTATTTATAGATATTTATTGCCCATATTCTATTTTATTTATTACAATTTGTGATATTCATTATAAAAATATTTGTAAAATTCAAAATGTGTGACTAATATTTCCCAGAATAATATAGTGTACTAAATATTGTCGAAAGGGTTGACAGAATTAAATATCAAAGTTTATTTTCTAACGCCATTAATAACCACCACTCTCGCACACACAAACATTATTTTAAAATCTTTTATTAATATAAAATATCGATTATACTATTTTTATAAATAATAATTAATAATGGAAATAATATATGATCTATAGATATCTCTTTATTCAAAATTATACTCGATTGGCTAAAAAAAGAATAAAGTTCGACCTATTTTTATCTTTATTTTCAACCTACTCTTTCTTTATAAGTGCATGCAAATTGAAGCATTATTGTTTTGCTTTTTAATTCAAATAATGTATTTTGATAACTTGGAAACATTTGTTTGGCATTAAAAAAAACAAAATAGTTCCTAGTTTCAGGTTAGGGTTTAGTAAAATTTGTTCGGTTCGGGTTCAGAAAATCGATCAAATTTTTTAAAATATCATTAAAAAATTTTTAAATTTTTAAACATTTTAAAAATCTAAATTAAAAAAAAACAAGTTCCCTCATGAAACTAGTATGATGTAACACATTAAAATTATTCAATACATATAAAGTACAATATAAAATATTTTTTAAGAATTTAAAATCGGACACTTAATTATATTAATGCCACCTTATGGAAACTAGATTTTAATCTTACATAAACATAATTGCACGATATGCAATACCAGAATATATCATCCTTTGCATGTATATTACTCATGAAGCATGTCTGAGTAATAATTGAAACATTTTTTTATGTAACTCTAGCTTAGAGCTTCAATAACAGGACTTTGAACCAGAACCCTGATATTTTACTGAACCAGAATATCTAACCACGAACATTTTTTTTTAAATTTAGGTAATTTTTAAAAAAAATTTACTTTATTTTTTTTGATGATTCGTTTAACAAGATTTTAAAAATAAAAATATAATATTTTTTTAAATTTTATTGTATTATTATAATGTCTTGAACGCGTTCCTGGACGAAGTTCATTTTTTGAAAAAAATAATGAAAGATGTTCTTTTCGACAAACTTTGAAGGCGAACGCGTTCCTTTTTTTTGGCGAGCACGTTCGTTTTTTACTTTCGTTCAATTTTAGAAAATCTACCTATTTTTATTCATTTGAAAATATAAAATATTAATTTTTTACATTAAAAGTTAATAAGAAATTTTTTTTTTATTGACTCAAAACTTTTAATTTTAAACATGTAATATATAGTAGTTTTTATATTAAATTAAATATTAAATAAAATTAAAAAAAAAATAAATTATTCGTAAAATTTGGAACGAACGTGAACGCGTTCCTTTTTTTGAAGTTGAACGTGAACGCGTTCGATTTTTTAAAAATGTTTACAGTACTTTATTATTATAATTATAATGATAAATATTTTTATGGTGAATTTGAAATATAAAATTAATTTAAATAATGTTTCTATTATTTTAATTAAATTTTATTAGTATTTATTTATCTGGACATCAACCCCGAAGCCATTTTTAAAGAAGGATGGTTCACAGCCCTGCCCAAAAATCTTTGAAATTCGCTCTTTTTAGTCCACATAGCACATGAGTTAAATATCGCTTAATTTTGCTAAGAGTTATAGGCCGATATTTATTTATTTTGTTCGGTGTATATATTGTGGTAAAATCAGTAAAAGAATGTTATAGATATTCGATTGGATACAATGAATTCGTTTTAAATTCATATTCAAATTTAGATTCACTGGATAAGGATCAGGCGAAGATTCTTAAGATGGCATATCAACATATTCATTAATATTTTTAAAAAAATCTAAAAAAATTTGGCTAAATAAAAATAAAATAGCAATTTATAAATGTAAAAATAAAAATTCTGGATATTGAAGAATGGCTGTGGTTCATATAATATACTATATTAAAATGGAAAATAAAATTATGAATTTGAATGAAAATATATGTCAGAATGATTATTATATATTTAAGCATATATATTTATTAGAGGATTTAAAAAAAATTATAATGAAAAAAGAAAGTATTTTAATATATTTTCTTGATGGCTACATTTAATATGATCAACTTCTTTAAAAGATATATAGGTCGAAGGGTGGTTTTATTTTTGCACTGCTGAGACTAAAAGGTTCAACACTGGGAAGGAGATATGAATCAGTTTCTTCACTGGATTCTAAGGGGGAGATAGGAGGTAGTTTGATTTCAAAATGGGTTAAATTATTTTTAAAATATTTCCTTCTGTTAGCTAAACATAATATATATAGGACATGGAACAGAACAGGAAGTTACTTGAAATAAATTATGAAACGGGAAGTGATCCTAGTAAAAATTTCTGAAACGTTCCTGAAAATAAAATTTTTAATTTTATTTTACTAAATTGTATATGTCGTATTGCGACATGGAATTCATGGTGATACGGAATCTCTCCGTTTTGAATCATTTACTAAGGTTGATTTTAAAAATCTGATTTGACAGACATTTCAGCATGTATAGAGTATACAAACTGAATTTGAAACAATTTCGCCATTAACTTTGGAATTACCTAAATTTATATGGATTTTCATATAAATTTTAAAAAATGCTAAAAGGTTTATGCGATAATTGTCTGAAATTCATAGAGTAAATACACTCTACATATCTGGAATACATTTCAGGTTAAATCGAATTTTATAATTTAAAAATCGACCTCGGTAAATGATTTAAAATCGAAAGTTTTCGAATCCCTAGGGATTCCATATCCCAATACTATATCTAGGCTCACGGCATTATATCCGTTTTTTATTTCCTTATTCCAGTTTGGTTCTCATTACAATATTATTAACTCATATTTTAGTATTATTATTTGATTTTAAGAAAAGAATTAAAATTATAAAAAAAAATTTTTGAATTTCATATTTGATATAATTTTAACTGAAGTCAATGTTAAGAGGTGTTTTCAATACTCACATTCAGATCTATATTAACACAGTTGCATGAATATTAATAATATTTTTTTTAGAAAATGTCTAAAAATTGGGATAATTTATAATAATGTAGTAATAAAATTAAAAAATTTTCAGGTATGTCCGGAATGTTCCGAAACATGGAACGGAACATATTTTTTGGTAGGAACGTGAACGCAAAAATGCCTCTGTTTTGGGTCTCGTATTTATATCCATACGACCCTTCCCCATCCTCATTTCTAATACTAATAAATACTAAAATGTTATATTCCTGTTTATTTTATTTATGCCCTGCAATACGAAGAATTTTCAGTTTTTAATTATTTATCTTTTTTGTTGAATATTTTTTTAAAAATTATTTTTTGTTCTGTCTGAATCCTAAAAAAATGGAAAAGGTAAAAACAAATAATACATAAATATTAAAATAAAAAAATTAAGCGGGTAAACTATAATAACCACAAAGTCTATACAGATATCGCTGTATAAAGAAAATATATAAACCTAACCTTGTAAAATATAATTTTTTATATTTTATTTATATTGCTTATAAATATAAATTGGAAGATGTAAAATTTTTTAAAGAGATATAATAAAAAAATAATTAACTATTGTTTAAAAATTTATATATACATGAATGTAAAAAATTAATTATATATATTTATTAAACAATTTTTATGATAATTATATATAGTATGAGAATAAAGTAACAAGAAAATTTCCGCAAGATGGAGCATTTTAAAAAATTTAATTTGTATATTTATTATATAAAAATAATAACGGTTTAATTTACAACAGAATATGAATATATAAATATAAAATGATATAAATATAAAATTCATTAAAAATTTTTTTTGGAAGAATGGATAAATTACAAAAAAATTATATATAATCCCATATAATTCATGGAAACATAAAAGTTTATAAAAAACATGAGGATATGTTTTATATAATGGAGAAAAAATTATTGGCCTAAATATATTATATTTTTATTTATAATTTCTAAATTTTAGCTTTCCTTTCTCTCAAAATGATGAAATAAGATGTTTTTATATCTACGAACTATAAATTTAATTAATTTGGAAATGACTAAGGGATCCTAATTCCTGATCTAGCATATGCTGTTTAAAAAATCCCTTTTAACTGCATGGGTTCAACTTACTTTTTATTATTACTTCGAAACCTAGATAACCTTAAAAAATTGTTAATCATCATCCTATTCTATATATTAATAAAGTGATCAGAAATATAAAAAAAAGTATTTATGTTAAAAAAAAAGATTAATTAAAATTATATTTTTACTCATGATTATAACATAAAAATCATCCAGATCTTTTTATTAATGCTTCAATTCATTCAAATTAATAATTAAAGAAAATTTATATATATGTTAGCGGCAATGTATTTTTTCCGTCAATGTGTTATTTTTTCAACTTAATATAATTTTTAGAGCGTGTTTTTTTTTGAATTTGTATATCTGATTTTACCGGAATGTGTTGCATAGTGTTTGGAATACCTACACTACGAATTCCAGATAGTTTTGCCATGAACTTTTGAACTACTTTATAATCGTCTTTCCATAGATATTTTATATAGAATATAAATGAATCAAAGGTTAACAGCAAAATTGTCCGGAATTCATAAGATAGGTATTAAAAGCATGCTGGTATATATTTCCAGTAAAATCAGATTTTTTAAATTTAAAAAACAGGTTCAAAAAATGATTTAAAGTTAAAAAAAAAACATTGCCAGAAAAAACATATTAACGCGAACCAGGGATTCGAACCTAGCCCGAATCCGTAGAAGAAAACCTGGGCTTTTGAAAAATAAATCTGAACCAGAATCAAACCTGAACTATGTTTATAAAATTTTCAAAACCCCGAACTGAACCCGGGAATATAATTTGAACCCGGGTTCAATCGGATTCAGTGTTTTGTTTGAAATCATACATCAAGATATTTGTATAAATGAAAATATTAATAATTTAATTGAGATTTCATTTTAAATTCCCAATAAAGTCAAGTGTTAATAAATTTAAATAATTCATTTAGGCCATTTTATAATTTATTTTCATAGATTCCTATTGGAGTGTTAATAAATTTTAAACAATTAAATTCATTTACGCCATTTATTTTTAATTTTTAACTTATTCTCAAAGATTATTAATTAGAGGATGAAAGTGAACAAGTCAAAGTAAAAATTATTATATTGGTTATTGTTAATTTAAAGAATTCTCAAAATCTAACTTAAAAATTATTAAACGATGATGCACGGCAGTTTTTGTAAACTTTTGTATTTTTAACGATATTTTGCATATAAATAAAATA